AATAGCCAGTGCAGAGGTTTTCCTTATGGATTTAATAACTCTACATTTTTGATACAGTACATTCAGTAGAGGGCCAACACAGAGACAGCTTACAATAATAATTCATACCCTACACACAATTTGACCAATGAGTTTTAATTTCATGGAGATTGTGCCTTGGATATTTTTGTTGTTGTTAATTGCGATTGAGTTGGCTTTCACTCACAACAACTCTGTATAGAGTTTCCAAGGAGCAGCTGGTGGATCTGAACTGCCAACCTTGTGGTTTGTATTCCAAAGCTGACCCTACAGCACCACAAAATACTTTGCTGTTTAAAGATCGAACATATTATCTTGGACATAGGAGACCCTTAGTAACTACTAACTGATTAAATTAAGAAGGATGGGGGGTGGGGAATCAGCCTGGTTTTTCTACCAACCATATATTTAAGTTGAAATTTTGGAAACTTTCCATATTCCATGGTGCACATATATTTCCATACATAATTTATAATCTACCGTCTAAAAGCACTTAATTCTAGTAAGAAATATGTTTTCTACCAAATCAATCATTATTGCCTTCTATATTTTTCTCTATAACTTTATTTTCTTTAACTTCTCATGCAAATCCTCATTTTTATTACTTGAATGCTCTCTAATTTGTCACAGAGAGTCAAGTTTATCTATGTGTGGCTGTGTTTTGTTTTTAAGTGCCTGAGAGGATTATGTGGAATGAAAATAAAATATATCATTAACTTTATTAATACATCATTTCTAACCCTCCAGAACTATTTTAAAATATATTTTGGAATACTCCAAAAGAAGGATAGAAAAAGCCGATTTCTTTGTCTATGAATGTTACCAAAACCGTCAATAAAAACATACTCTTAATTCTTACATCTGTACCGTGCCTTTTGTGAAAATGACAAACGATTCATAGTTTAATTTTAGTTGTTTGTTGTTGTTGTTTGGTTTGGTTTGTTAAATTATTTCTTCTAAGCTATGTTTTGAAATCCTGGTGTGGAACTTTAGAATAAGAATTTGACTGTGAACTGCAAAGTCAGCAGTTCAAACCCACCAGCTGCTCCTCAGAAATTATGTAAGTTATTATAAGGAATCAACTTAATGATACTTAGAAATAAAAATGAGTTCTGGTAGCGTAGTGGTTATGAATCGGGCTGCGAACCTTAAGGTCAGCGGTTCGAAACTACCATCTGCTCCATGAGAGAAAGACAAGGCTTTCTACTCCCGTAAGGATTTACACCCTCGGAAACCCTGTACATGGTCGCTATGGGTCGGAACCTACTCGACAGCACTCAACAACAACAACAAGAAATAAAAATAAAAAGCCATGTTTTGGTATGTGTTAGAGATGGAGGAAAGGATCCAGTTTTCTTTTTCTTTAGTCTGTATAAATTAGAGATATATTTAGTTTGATTTCATCTACATTGACATAAGACTAATTTTTTTTTTTTTAACATCTCATAAATGAAAAAAGCGAGAATGAGAAACATTCATACTATTTGTTTTGTTTTATCATAAAATCTCTTAACTTTCTATAAATACATCTCTGGTTACCAGAAAGAATGATTTTTTAATTGCTTATTTTAGTTTTAATCGCATTTAGGTATTTAATTAATTTATGTTTATTTAATTTTAACGGACGCTAAAACAGTTTTGCTAGTAATTTGATTTTTTTGTATAACCATAAAACATACATAATCTAACATTGATTTTCTTATGCATTTCTGCAAATTACTATTTGGAAAACAAGATGGATCCTTATATTGAAATAAACATAATCTTAACAGATGTTTCATATGTAACAAGCAGACCAATGCTTCCCAAACTGTCTTATGCAAATCAGTCACTGACTATCTTATTAAAATTGCTGAGTTTGTTTCAGTTGTTGTTGTGTGCCATGGAGTCGGTTCCGACTCACAGAGATCCTGTACAGGGTTTCCAAGGCTGTAAATCTTTATGGGAGCAGAAAGCCTCATCTTTCTTCCGTGGAACAGCTGGTAGTTTCAAACTTCTGATCTTGCGGTTCACAGCCCGATTCGTAACCACTACACTACCAGAGTAGGACTGGGGTAAGCTCACAGTTTGGGTAGTAATGACATAGATTGTATCTGAGGCACCTGTTAATGAATCAGCAGGAAAAGTTTTGCATATCATAATTAACATGCAGAATGATTTTGCTGCAAGTAGGAGTTCTGGAGTAACAGTAGCCCTATAGGATAAACACTGGACTGCTAACCGCAAGTTCAGAAGTACAAATATACTAGTCACGCTTCAGAAACTGCATACAGGGTCGCTATGAGTCAGAAGCAACCTGAGGGCACTTAAACAACAAAATAACAAAGGACAGCCTCTGACTGAGATTGAGTATAAACACATTAGAATATATGTATATATATTGAAATAAACATAATATATATATATATATATATATTTTTTTTTTTTTTGCTTATGCAGGCAGGGGTATATAGTAGTAAAGAGCACTGGTTAGGGTTAGGGATCTGGCCTAGGACTTCTTTTAGTTAGGGTCAGGACTAGGATTAGTGTTAAGGGGGAAGGGCTAGGGACTAGGAGGACTAGGTGTAAGGTTTGGTCAAGTTTTTAGAGTCATTGTTAAGTTTATTTTTATTTATTTCATTTTTTTATTGACATCATAATTTTCATTGAAATTCCTCATTATTTGGAATTTCTGGTACTACATTATTTCCTCTGTTGATTTTCTTTGTTGTTGCTGCAACTGTATTTCTGGTTCTCTGCTTTCAGTTTCATAGGTCCGTTTTACTTTAAATACTTCTGTATCTGGGTTGAGTCTTGGTGATGTAGTCATGTATATTATTATTTGGTTGGTTGGTTGTCCAAAGAAATTTCTTTAGTGCGTTTTGTAAAATTGGTATGGTTTTTACAAATTCTTTTAATTTCTACTTATCTGAAAATGACCTAATTTTGGCCTCAGGCAGACTTTAGCTTTTCTAGTTCTTAGTGTACCCTCTCACTCCATTAAACAGTGTAGTAAAGTGATAAGTACTGATTGATTTGTTGATTTTTCAAAAATAATCAGTTTTGATGATGTCAATTTTAATTCAGTAAACATGGTGGGCCCCTATTATGATGTATAAAAGAGCAGTGTACTCTGAATAATATGAGACCACTGTTTACATCATTATTTCTTTTTGAAACATCAGTGCAAAATATATGATACATAATAATCATTGGCAATGGTAGCTGGAAAATTTGTGTCCTGGCCTTTTGTTATCTGAAAATATATTATTTTTATCATTTAAATTGTTTTATAGGTCAAGCATTCAATATGTGTATGTTGCTGGAAATTCTTAGTTCCATCTAAATGCTACAGGTAAATAATGCAACCAAATGTCTCTCACACTGGCCACTTCTAATTGAATCAGATACAAAAAAATCCATTTGGCCAGAAGTTTACCACATACTAGAATATCTTTGCTACTTTTTCAGTAATGGTATGATGAATTTGTTGATATGAATTGGAATCTAATAAATTAGAGATTTCAGAAATTCAATAAAATCTCATATGACTGTTGTTGGGGAATGCTCCAAGATTTTTTTTTTTTTAAAGCTCCTCATTTTGTATCATGGAACATTCTCAATCTAGATGAGTCTACTTTCACTCATGACAACAGTATGTAGAGCCTGTTATTAATAATAAACCCAACATCAGAAGCTGGTTTAACACAAATTGCACTTGACTGATATTCTTTGTGTTTCTAATTGGATAATTAATAACATTGGCTACTATTCATGTTATACAGATATTAGAAATAAAGATGTGTTCATAATGCAAAAATACTGGTTTTTCATGTCTGTGTAAGGCATCCATGCCAAAAGTCGTCTCATACGTTCCTTTAAAACCACTGTCATTAAAAGTAGGTGGTTTGCACATATTTTTCTATAATTTTGACTATTCATTAGTATTTTAAAAGTTTTATTTTGAAGCATTTGTTAATTGAATTCATGACATAAAGAATATAGAAACTTAAAATTGGAAAGATATTTCTATTTATGGTGGTCCTTTTGTCCAAAAAACTTTGGGGGTCCCTCTTAATTATCATGGCATTTTGGTATATGCTTTTGACTGCTTCTGAATTTCAGAGACAATGGAATGGGAATAATTTCATGAAAGACAAACTTCTTACATCAATACATCTTCTTTTTATAACAAATGTTCACATATGTTTTAGGAATATTCAACTTAGTCTAATTCTTTAATTTACATTATTCCTACTCCTCTCTTCCTATATTTGTAAGGATAACCCCAAAAAAATCACTGCCACCGATTCAGTTTCAACTCATAGTGACTATACTTAGGTTTCCAAGACTCTCCATCTTTACAGAAGCAGACCACCTCATGGTTCGCCCTCAGAGCTGCTGGGTTTGAACCACTGTCCTTTCCGTTAACAGCTCAATATTCACAGACCTGTGCTATGGAATCACATGAATACTTTCTTTAGCTCAGTAGCACTGGTATGGAATTATCACAGTTAAAAAGCCTGTTGTTTGGTTTTAGAAAGCATTAAATAAGAAAAGACTTATACAACTACAGACGAGACAGTATGAAAATTGTCCTGCATTGCTCCAAAACTTAGTTCAGATTTCATTGGTGAGTTGACTTTTCAAAATACACAGTAAGTAATTTCTGATGAATGGATCCTATTCATCAAACAACTGGGCATTATACTGTCAGCATCGGGCACTCATGTGATTTTTAATGTGCATTGAAACAGCAATGTTAAATCCAACCCATGGTATGACAATTATTAATACTGCATAAAAATAAAAGCATGTTATATATTCTAAAACCTCTGGACTCAGAGGTTGCTCACACGAGAAACAGAGTGATAGGAAATAGGAAAATATGTATTATTAAAATGCAACCACAATTTTAGTTAAGTTTTCAAATCAAATTAGTGGTTTTGAATTAAATTTCTTAAAAAACTGCACTTTCCATTAATTATGCATATTCTTTTTAGAATGTTTCTCATAGAGGATGGCAGCCTCAAGATATATAATGTTACCAGGTCGGATGCAGGACCATACACTTGCATAGCCACAAATCAGTTTGGCGTTGCTAAGAGCACTGGCAGTCTGGTTGTAAAAGGTATTTAATCATCTTCATTAGTACTTGATGTATATTAGAAATTTGTATGCATAACATGACCTCTATCACAGTGTCAAACCTCCATCACCTTGTACATCTGAAATATTTGACATCACCATTGACTTGAGTTGCCCATTAATACCGTGCTTGCTTTTCCAGGGGGATTCCATGAATAATTAGGCAGAGTTAATACTTACACTTAAAATATTTGAAATCTCACAAATTCCTTACTGGGTGTGGCCATGGATATTTTCATGTGATCACTGGGTAATACTTTTTTTTTTGGTTAACTTTCATTTAGAATTCAGTTTGTATGAAATTTTTTATGTATGAGTATATGAGTAAATAAATGGTTGTTGTTGTTGTTGTTAAGTGCCGTTGAGTCGGTTCCGACCCATAGCGACCCTGAACAGGGTTTCCAAGGCTGTGAATCTTTACTGGAGCAGAAAGCCTCATCTTTCTCCCGCGGAGTAGCTGGTAGTTTTGAACTGCTGACCTTGAGGTTCGCAGCCCGATTCGTAACCACTACGCTACCAGAGCTCCTTAAATAAATGGTAACCACATGCAGCTAGTGAAATGCTTATGCTTTAATATGTAGTTCTTTTCAAAGAGAAAAATGAAATGTATAGCATTCACTTCAGTCTTATTATATTCCCATCAGAGTAAAGAGATACAGCTGTTAGCTGCTGTCAAGTCAATTCTCCCTAAGAGCAGCACTAGGTACAACAGACTGAAACACAATCATTGTTGCTGGGTTTCAGTAAATGACCATTTAGTCACTGTGCCCATGAATGTTCTTCAGGGTCTTCCTGTTTTTTTGCTGACCCTCTAGTTAAGCAAGATATTCTTCCTCAGAGACTGTTACTTTCTGATAATATACCCAAAGTAGTGAGGTGAATCTTGTCATTCTCACTTTTAAGGAGCATTCTGGTTATGCATCTTCTAACACAGATATGTTCGCTCTTCTGGTAGTTTAGGGTGTTCAATGTTCTTCACCAAAAACATAGTTCGTAGTTACCAATTCTTTTTTGTTCTTCCTTATTCATTGTCCACAATCTGCATACATATGAAGAGAATGAAATACTATGGTTTGTCAGGCACACTTTGATTCTCAAGTGACTTCTTTTTAACACTTTAAAATGGTCTTTGGCAGGAAAGCCCAATGCAATACATCATTTAATTTCCTAACTACTGCTTCTGTAGTTATTGTGATATTGATTCTGTAGCACTGATTGAGGCTTTAAGCCAAATGATGTCCTAAGTAACTTAATCTTTCTCCATTTATTATGATCTTGATAGCTGGTCCTCTTGTAATGATTTTTATTTTCTTTATGTTGAGCTGTCGTCCATATAAAGACTGTATTCTTGGATCTTCACCAGTAACTGCATCAAGACCTCTTCAAATTCAGAATGCAAGGTTGTATCATTTACGTATTATGCATTGTTAATGAGTCTTCCTTCCACCTTCTACTTCCTGCCTTCTACTTCATGTACTGAAGTCCTGGTGTGGTGCTGTGGGCTAATGTGTCAGACTGTAAAGTTGTTTCAACTGCAGTGTTGGTGGTTCAAGCTCAGCGGGTCCTCCATGGAAACCCTATACAGAGTTGCCATGCATCAGAATTGACCCGAAGCCACTTAACAACAACAACTTCATACAGTACAGCTTCTTATATTATTTGTTTAGCATACAGATTGAATAAGTATGAAGAAAAGATACAACCCTAACACCAACCCTGATTTAAACTATTCAGTAGCCCCTCGTTCTGTTTAAACAATTGCTTCTTGAACTATGCACAGGTTCCCCATGATCACAATTAAGTGTTCTGGAATTCTCCTTCATCACAATACTATCCATAATTTGTTACTATATGAAATCAAATGCCTATACATAGTAAGACACAGGTAAACACTTTTCTGGGTTTTTTTTTTTTTTTTTTTTTGCTTTTAGCCAAGATTTATCAGTATCAGCAATGATAGCTCTCATTTCATGTAATCTTCTGAATCCACCTTGATTGCTGGCAGTTTAATGTCCATGTACTGATGCAACAGGTTTTTGAATTATCTTCAGCAAATTTTACTTGCATGTGATATTCATGATATTGGTAGATACTTTCTGCACCTTGTTGGATCATCATTCTTTGGTAGGAATGCAAATATGGAACTTTTCCAGTCAATTGGCTCAGTAGTTTTCTTGTAAACTTCTTGACATTGACGAGTGAGTCCTTCCAGCATTGCTACCATCTATGCAATCATTTCCTTTGCTATTCCATCAATTACTGGATGCTGTGTTTTGCCAATGCCTTCAGCACACTATTTTGTTCATCCTTTAATATTTCAACTTGAGGCTTTAATTTTTCCTTCAGTTCTTTCAACTTGAGAAATGCTGAACATGATCTTTTTTTTTTTTTTTTGGTTTTCATACTCCAGGTCTTTGCACGTTTCATTATACTATTTACTTCGTCTTCTCAACGCACCCTTTGAAATCTTCAATTCAGCTGTTTTATTTCACCATTTCTTCCTTTTGTTTTAGTTATTTGATATTCAAGAGTAACTTTCAGGATCTGTTCTGACATCCGTTTTAGAGTTTTCTTCCTTTCTTGTTCTTTTAATGACTTTTTGCTTTCTTCGTATATGATGTTCTTGGTGTAATTCCAAAACTCCCTGTTCTTTTATTACTCATGCTCACTGGGTCAAATCTATTATTGAGATTATCCCAGAATTCAGGTGGGATATACTTTAGACTGTACTTTGAATCTTGTAGAGATGTTTTAATTTTCTTTACTTCAAACCAAACTTACATATGAGCAATTGGTTCGTTCTGCAGTCAGCCCCTGATCTTATTCTGAGTGGTGATGCTTAGCTTCTTCATTATGTCTTTCCACAAATATAGAGGATTTGAGTTTTGTGTATTACACTTGGTGAGGTCCACATGTGTCGTCACTGTTCATGTTGTGGATAAAAGGTAATTCCTATGAGTACGTCATTGGTCTTTCAAATTTTGTGTGAATTCTCTAGTCTCATTTCTAGGAGTATGGTAGCTCCATAGTGTACAAACTGAACTGTGAATCACAAGGCTAGTGGTTCCAGATCACAGTCACTCCTCAGGAAAAAGGTAATGTTTTATGCTTTCACAAAGTTAGTTTTCAAACAAAAAATATGCCTCCAAAACCCCATACAAGGTCACTATGAGTTGTAACTGACTCAATGACACTTAATAGCAGTGTTGTTTCTATGAACTCACTCCATGTTTTCTAACTATTAACCTCCTTAGTTATGACTCACACAATTCATTCACTAGTAATTATCATAGTATTCTATGCTTATCAATTTCAGACTTCAGAAGTTGGTAGAAATATTCAGTCTTTTCCTTTGTGAACTTAGTAATGGGTGTGTATACAGATTGTCTTTCTTGCAAACTATTAATGTTATCCAGTCAGAGAAAAAGAGGAAGACCCCCAGTGAGATGGTTTGGCCAAGTGGCAGCATCAATGGACTCAAGCGTGGCAACAATAGTGAGGTTGCCTCAGGATCGGACAGTGTTTTGCTCTGCTGTGCCTAAGGTCGCTATGGGTCGGTACCGACTCGATGGCACCTAACAACAACAACATCAGTGACAGTGTTTTACTTTAGGATAGATCTCAAATGGTCTTTTTAAAATAGTTTTCACTGTGTCAAACATTTTTTTAAACAATGAATTTAACCACATTTATCTTCAATTTGTCAATCCTGGCATAGCAGAACATATCATTTCAAAATAGCCAATCCCAGTCCATTTCAGCTCACTAATGCCTAAGGTTTTTTTGCATTCCATTCCATTTTTTATGATTTCTAGTATCCTTGGATTCATACAGTGTACCTTTGTCTTTCTGATTATAAGTGGATGTTTGAAGCTGTTTTCTCCTATTTCAAATCGTGCCACATTAGCAAATGAAGGTTCTGAAAGCATTACGCCATACATGTTGTTTAGGTCACCTATTCTTTGAGGCCTATACAGGGTCGTTATGGGTTGGAACTGATTGGACAGCTCTTAGCAACAACATTCTTTGAGAAGTCTGCTCTTCCTCATTCATATTTTGAGTGCCTTCTAACCTGAGGGGCTCCTTTTCTGGCTCTATATCACACAATCTTCAGCTGCAATTTACAAGGTTTAATGGGCCACTTTTTAGAAGCAGATCCATCAGATCCTTCTTTCTAGTCTATCTTCATCTGAAAGCTCTGCTGGAATCTGTCCACCATGAGTGACCCTTTCTGGTGATTGAAATGCTGATGGCATAACTTCCAGCGACACAGCAGGACGTAAGCCACCACGGAATGACAAAGGGATAAATGAGTAAATAGACAAGCTCCTAGACCTTGGAATAATAAAACTGCATACTGAAGTTTTAAGACTTTTCAACTAGTATTCATCCAAATGTCCCAATATATCACCAAGAGACATAATTAGTATTAGAAATGCCTATTCCCCATCTCTGCTATTTTTTTTTTTTTAACTCAGCTCATAAAATAGTATGTTTACTGGAAGCTATGTCACTTCTATTATTTTGTTACCTCCCAGATGATAAAAAAGACTGTTTTGATAAAGCTGATTGAGCAGCTAATTAAGCCCCAAAGACAAAATTCTGTAATTGATGCTTTCTCCTCATTTCTATAAAAACATTAAATGTATTTAATAAAAATAGCTGTTAAACTTCAACTATTCTGTAAAATTACCCCAGGAAAATAAACACTCATATAAAGCCCTGGAAGATATTTCTGCCAACTTGTCACAAGGGTATTGCATGATGCCCACAGTCATCTGGCACGATCAGTGGAACTATGACTGATAGAATATGATGTGTCAAAATCAACTAGTGTGGTTCATTTTGAAAACTATTACTTCTCTGAGATTGTGTTGTCATTGTGTTTTTAAGACACCATATTGCATTAAGCAACTCTAATGCAAAAGACTGTGTCCTGTTGAGGATTAGGGTGAGCATGACCCAAGCCATTAAGTTTTCAAT